CGGCAGCAGAGGAGATTGCGAAACCGCGGGGTCTAGATCCCTCCAAACGAAGGATACGATGCTTCGGCCACGTCCTCAACCTGGTGGTCAAAGCTCTGCTGTTTGGGCACAGGACTGAGGCATTTAAGGCTGATGTTGATGGACAGTCGGTCAGGGGTGTCTCCCGCATATTACTGAAGTAGACTGCCCGGAGCAAGGCGAGTCATTTGGAAGGAGCTAGATATTCATCATCATTACACGAGTATTTTTGTATCACATGTTTCCAAAAATGCAAGTGCCGCGGCGTCGAAGAAAGGCATAAACTCAAGAAGCTGCCCGTCGTCGTACAGCCTGTTGTAGTGCTGTATCAGCTGCTTGATACTCCCCGCCGCCTGCAAACAAACCACCATGGGGAAAGTCCCGTCCGAAGCGATCGCGGCTGATTCGAGAACGTATGGTGTTAGGAGACACATGACGCCAAACTGATAATAGGTGCTGATATGAGATAAGAGGTGAGAAAAAACATCAAGACCCCAAGGCCGGGAGTGTTGTGAGGACTAACTGGGCAAATAGTATCAATGGCGTCTCGCTGGGGTAGCTGCGGGTGCAGGCCAAGAAAGACTCGTACCATCGCAGGCCGTCTTGGTACACCTTGACCGCCTGGTTCAACGTTTCTTCGGATGAATACCGGGCCTTGTACACCAATTCGGTGAACTTGAAGAGATTGGCCGCGATAGCCTTGGGGTTGTTGGGCAACAAACTCAGGTCTCGCATGAAAAAGGGGTCGTCTGGAAAGACTTAGCGACGTGTGCTGGAAAGATGAGTCTCTGGTACAATTCCCACCTGTGATCGAACCGGAGAGGTTGGTCTTGGAGATTGTGCTATCGGCGCTGCTGCTATTCTGCAGCGGAGACTTGTCCAGCCCGACTTTGATGGCCAGCTCATCTAACGTCTTGTGGTAATCTTGGATTAAGAACAGCAATCTAGGACAAAAGAATCAGTCGGGCTCTGGCGGGGCTCTGGCGTTGTTCATCGCGAAACAGCTCCCGTTACCTGTTAAGTGAAAGAGCACCACAATATAAGCTGGCATGCGTCTGGCGATCGGCAGAGCCGGCCTCTGCGTGGCCGGCCTCCCACTGCTCGGTAATAGCAGCGATAAAATCACCGGCAAAGACGATACCGTCCTTGATATTTTCACAGCTGAGGCAGTACACTGCGAGTACCCCTACGGCCTGGATGTCAGCGATTTGGTGCGGCAGTCCCGATTCATTGTACAATGCGGCTATGGCCTCGCGCGCAAACGAGTCGCCGAGGCGCCCTTGCCGGACGTCGTCGCCGCCACCGTGCGTGCGAGGCGTCACCATGGCCGCCATTTTCTCCGGGGCCAGCACGGTCGCTAGGGCCAGGAGGGCGTCCAGAAGGGCCGGGGAGCAGTGCTGGCCAGCGCCAGACTCCAGATCGGCCCTGAGGTGCGCCTTGCTTATGGGGCAGAACGAGAGGCAAACCCGCGCGAGGATGAAGTCGAAGAGCTGCGGGAGCTGCGACCTGTAGTAGCCCAGGTTGGCCTGGACGTACGAGTGCATGGGGGGCCTGGTCTTGCGCGGCGTCGGCGCGCTCACGGGGAGGAAGGGGATCTTTGAGCCTTCTTGGGAGCTGGAGAGTAAGGTCTCGGGGCTCGACACGGAGGTACAGACAGAAGTCGGGGAGCCGCCTAGCACAGCTGAAGTTAGAACGCCGGAAAAGAAAGAATACCATGACGGGTACAGGCAGGGCTGGCAGCTAGATAGATGCAGAATGGCTGTGAGCCACGGATTCGTCGTACCAGGGCTGGGTCTACCTCTGTCACGGTCACGGTCTCGGCTGCTGGGACTCTGCGTTAGCATCTCGGCAACCTCGGCGCGCGACTGGCCGTCCGAGAGCCGTTGTATGATGTCATTGAGCTGCGCGGGGCTTGTGTTGCGAGACGAGATGGCATCTAGCAGGACATTATATTCCGAGTTTATCGTCTGCAGCCCGGCCAATTCCTTTCGCAAATCGGCCTTGGAGACGCGCTTGGGCCTGAGATAGACGCAGTCGGCGCCATCGTCACGACAAGCCTTGCAAGGGCTCACACCGTCTCCGTCACACTACATAGGTGAGGACGAGGAGCGTTCAGATGGGAGTCAAAACAAACGGATGCTGCGGCTCTCACCTTCCTTTTTTTCCGACGGCAGAGCTCGCAGGCGTAATATGCTACCGATTGTCGGCGTGGCATGGTAAGAAAGAGCCCTGATCGACTTGACAGAGTCTTGACTGCTTTCAGGCACAGGGGGAGAGAAGTGGAAGAAAGAAGAGGGAAGAACCGGTGAACAGTCTTATTGCTGGATGACTCTGAGACGAACGAGGAAAAAAAACACGGCGATGAACGAGGGTAGACGGAAGGGGCCAAGAAGGTAATGAAACCTAAAGGCTCTGCAAGATGCATATCACTTTAGGCGAGGCACAACCCGAGAGAAAAAGTGAAGCCTCATTGGTCTGCTCCCCTTCTCCCACCTGCACACTCGCAACATTGCACACTTTGACTGATTGACCATACATACTCATCACACCGGACTTCAACCCCTTCGGACGAATTAGTATGTGCCAGGTTACTGGTTCGGGGACTAACGGTAATGCTTCCCGAGACTCGATTACGGATGCAGGATTGGAAATTGGGCGGCTCAACCGACGGGACGTCATCATGTACAGATAGAGCCAAACAAGACTAGATTGCAGCCATGTAGGCACATCTAGCCAGGAGGAGGTAGAAAGGTTGCTTCGTACGGGCGTGGGTGTGCTTCATGTCAGGCAGCCAGCGAGGAAGAAGCTGCGCGAAGATTGGTGAGATGGTGTTATGCGAGCGCCTGCTCTCCCCCCTACCCCCAGTCCGCAATACTAGGTGATATGGGTACGTTTTAAATGCAGACCAGGTACCGGCCAGGATTGATGCCTCAATGACTAGTGGGTTGCTGGGGGGGGGTCTCGCTGGGGTAAATAAGATACATTCGATCCCGAGCTGGGGGGGGTCTTTACCACGCACGTACTGCTATATTGCAGGGTCATATGCATCCGACGCGGCTTTGCTGCCATGTGTTGGTCAAATCACAAGCTGCGGCCGCCTTTATCAGACGCACACAGATGCATAATGCATAACATGCGTACAGGCATTGGTTGTTGCGGACTATCCTTTTGCAGCGACGGCGAGGCAACTCGCAAGTTACGCGGTGAAAGCCATCACTAAAAGCAAGGATAAGGCCGGCCAGGCAAAAAGTAAACCCCCTGTTCCCGCGTAAAGGAAAGAAAGGTCCGCCATCGCACAACTTACTAATAACTCGGCGTCGCGCTACTGGGCCCCCGTCCGTCCAAGAATATTTGCCTCCCGAAAGATCGGAGCTTTGGATCGGTTTAAGAATACTAGTTCGATGCTCTCGGCAAATAAGAATCAGATGACGGAGGAGTTAAATAGTTGGCAAATGCGATTGTGAGCCAGGCTTTCACTTCTTGTCAGTGCCCAAACCGGAGGGCCAGCATGGACAAGTTCCGCTTGCCGTGCCGAGAAAGAAAAGGGACTTGCAAATATCAATCTCACCTTTCGTTCTTCCTCGATTATGTCTGCTTCTACAACCGTGGCACGGCAGAGGAGCAAGCGGACGTAGAAATGGCAGAAGGGGGCCCCTTGCCACCTCATGAGGTCATATGGCCGTAATACTGTCTCGATGGAACACTTTGGCTAACTACCGGAGTCAAAAGAAAATGCCTCCGACTTGTCAAAACAGGCCTCTTTCGGGCCAGTGGCTGGTCTGGCTGGCATGGCCTGAATAGGCTTGATAGGCTTGATAGGCTCAAAGCTGATCGATTTGCTGCCGTCGCCTTCCTCCTCAACCTCGGGCTCAGGCTCGGTCACCCAGCCCCAGTTTCAATTAGGGGCCAAGGCAGTCGGGGCTGTTGTTTACCTCTGTGCAGCACGTTTGCCAACTTCATCGGTCGAATGTGTCGAATCGCATTTTCAAGCCAAATACCGACGCTACTGCTACACGCGACGCGTCAAACTTTGAAACCAGGTTGCCAGGTCCGAGGCTTGTAACCTCCTCACGGTGAGTTTCGACTGTGAGTTCGACATTTATCTACCGCTGGAAGCGACTGCAGTAAATAAAGAGTCTCACTAACAATTTCGCAATTGTTGTCGGCAAGGCTGGTTTGCCACCAGTCGGCTTTGCACATCATGAAAGCCACAAGAAACAACTGCAGAACTGCAGCTACCTAGTGGCGAACCAATCGGAGCGATAGCACCCATTACCTCCGTACCAATTGCATTCCAGCACTATATGGCATGTCGAAGATGCCAACGAAATATCTGCCGATCTCTACCATATAATATACTGAACTTTAGACGATAAATAACCGCAGATTTATAGCTCAGCTATAAAACAGATTGCATGTGGT